GCATTTCATACATTTTGAAAACATTTTAAACGTATGTAATACAAAGCTTGACATATATGCATACTTTTTATAGAGCCTGTGATCCGAAAGTATGAGAGATCAGTCTGCAGTTGAATTTTTAGGATGGTATTATGCACAAATTTATCTCACACGACAGTTTTAAACGATTTTTCTGCCATCTTTACCACTGAAAGAGAAATGCCCAATTTTTTTTCTTTCCTTCAGAAAAAAAAATAGTAAGTTGTTCGTTTTCAGCAACCCATCAGCTATCAACATCGAATCCCCCGTCATCAACTATCAATTGTAACGGAGAACTAGTTTCCTCTTTACATGGTAATCCTAAAACGATCCTCGGTGACTGGTTGTTCCATATCCTCTGATAAATCAGAAAAATTGTTCTAAAGAGTTGTTCTTCCGAAATGTTTTGAATGTGTGATACAACTTTTAGGTGGTTGTATCAACTGTGTTTCTTCGATAAGAGTTTAATAAACTTTCTTAATTGTTAAAACTACTATTCTATGAACTACTACATCGCATTGTCCTTCAATTTTATGTCTAAAGCCGTGTAAAGCTAAAATGTGCTCTCTCTCTATATATATATCACCAAGAATCTGAAAAACAAGGGCATTCCACCCAAGGTGTCCCGTAAATATTCGTACAAAATTTAAGAGCAGGTAGGGCATGTCAAAGCATTGAGAATTGCATAGCAACCCATGACCGGAAACATCAGCTACAAGAATGATGGGATACAAGACAAAGATTATTAGACATATTTATTGCTCATTTCATTGTATTATAGTGAATGATACAATTTTGAAATGTTGTAAAAGAGGTTCACAGTTCCCGCCATTAAAAGCGATGCATGCTTTTCATAGACGGACTGTGGATTAGTGGGTACGGTCAAGAAAACCTCTGCAGCAGCGCAGACGATAACAACAACTAGATTCATTTCTGACTCTTCATCTATTTCATTGACAACAACTTTAAATGCTCTCCAGAGAAAGAAATTCAGGCTGCTCGAATCCGGTTGCATGGCAAACATTGACCAGAAGACGCACTCAAATGTCTCCGAACACATCTTTCATTATAGAGAGGCACCCCATCATGACGAAACCACATGCTGCATCGCACATTTTCTGGTACAAGGTGACATAAGCTTGCCATAACCTGTTCCACAAAGATGTTATAATTTGCTGATGTCATATGTTATGGCAACAGGCAAGGTCTGATTAAGCAGTTGCTGACCAAACCAGTCCAAATGTTTTCAGCAACCCTCGAAAAACATCACTACCTAACGGCGCTCAACGATGCTTGCGGCCATACGTTGTGATGCAGTTTTTTTGACGTGTTCTACATTCCCTTCAAGTTTGTACCGAAATTTATGAGACTGCAAAACACCTGTACATTTTATAGGATGCCTGGTGGTATCAGGCAAAATAGGAAATATGATAATTATCATGTACTTTCCCTAGGCATTGTACATAATACTTCTGGCATTCTATAGAATGACGAACTTTATTAATTAGGCAAAGAATGAAAAAAGGTCATAGGCCTATCATTTAAAAGACGTGAATACCTAAAAAATACAAATTTTATTTTCAAAAACTAAAGAAAGAATGACGTTAAAATACATTTATTCCAAATATGTAAATTAAAAAGAAAGTTGTACAAAACAAAATTTATACCTTCCGTATTAAAGGAAAAAACTTTCATTTAAACAATAAGAAATTAAGGTTAATTTATATGTTGTAATATGGCAGGTTTGATTGACATTTTGAGTTACCCTTCATTACCTTTTTCACTCAAAGACATTTCATATTTTGGCACTTTTTTTCTTCACATAAGCTTGACAAATCTTCGACTTTTACACAGGACTAAGCAACTGTGCCTTAGAGGAGACGAATTTCGCCGTCAGGATTATCTTAATTCGAAAGAAGTTCTTATGGGGTAAAGTCAATTGTAATCTCGCATACAGCTGTTTTAAAAATCCTTCAGACGTTCCAAATCGGATCACCTAGTTTTGTTAACAGCCGGTAAAGCGAACTTAAGTAGTCGCACAACCAGGCCCGACCCAGCTTGGAGCCTCTATTAAGCAGGAGGTGTGTCTGTCAGACAAATTTCGCTTCCAACGAAAGCGTAAGAATTCACTCTGCTGTCTCCTGTCCCACTATAGGCGACAGACCCTAATTGATCTCTCTCTAACCCCCGGCTAAATTGCTCTACCGGAGTCACCTCTCCTGTTGACTAGAGACCATCATGAGCTGTGGTTCTATTGGTGTGAAGATTTCACTGGTCGTCAAGATGTTTTCCGACAGTACTACGTGGGATTCCTGATACCCGTACTGTATCTAACACAGAGCTTACATTACCTTGGCCTGCCTGTGTACCAGTCGAGTTAATGAAATAGAGAGCATCTGCTTATACCGAGAGCTTACGAAGAGGGGGGTAATCGGAATAAATCATCCTCCCACACACTCATTACAACTGCTAATATTTTTGCTCGAATACTCTCACTGACGTTAAGAATATAACTTGAGCAGTAGGGAGTAGATTTTTAAGAATTGACTTTCCTTTTTTTAGGGCTGTTTCATACTTTTCCGGATGTCATTTAGCCAAATGACTATGCGTTCCACAGAATGTTAAATGACTACGTGTGAAATGTTAATAGCTTCAAACACTGCCAGGCAGTTTTCGGCATAATATAAAATTCCTAGGTATTCTACAAATTTGGTCGGCTTGCAAAGTGGTGCAATATTTGTCATAACTGGCATTGATAAACACCAATTAATAATACTTTTAACCGTCAGGGCAGAGGAATGGTCTGCATTTATACGTTCTATCTGAGGATAATACCAGATGCCAGGCTAATGACTACATAACCTGGTCATTATACATTAGCCTGTGAAAAGCTTCAATCCCAAGTCTTACGCTGTTACACACTCATCCCAAGTTTTCCTCTGAAATGTTGAATTTTCGATAGTATTTTAGATTCAGGTTTTACAGACTGATTGGAGTTAACTTGAACTGCATTGCTCGGGATATGTGGGCAAAGGATCACATAATGGTAGCTTCTAATTTCCTGCAACTGGCACCGATCAGTCTCACCGAAGAGAGAGAAGTGAGATGGGAAACCTCCACGGTATGAGAGAAACTGCATCAGAATTGATTTCCTGTTGATGAGAATAGTATGGACACTCGAATTAGCTCCATTACACGAAACCATTACCCCTCGAATTACCTCCATTACACGAAAAAGGAGTAAATCAGCTTGCTTGTTGTACCCATGAACCATATCTCTTGCCAATTATAGAGAAAGAGATCAGATATAAAAATTTTCAGTTAGAACAATTTTTGGTGTTTCGTGAGATATAATGGGATTGCATTTGGTAAAGAACACCCAAGTTTAGATACCTCGTCCGCTTTCACTTTTCCTTCAATGTCTATGTGGGATAGGACCCAATCATGGGTAGTCAGACAGATAATCGGAGTTCCAGCTGTAATTCCTCAGCTAAAAAAAGAATGATATTTAGTTCATTTTATGGTCGTTAGACTGGGAACTTAGGACTAAGAATGGTGACTTGAGACGTTGAAACTGTCCATCATGCCCATCCACCTCGCATGGCTAGAATTTCTACCTGAAAAAGTGAAGGTTTTTTGAGCGAAGGCCTCAGGCCCAAGAATTTCTGGTTATGATTGCTACATAAATACGGTATCTGCATCTTATGTTGATCGATCAGTAAATATTTTAACGATGGCATGATAAAAGATATTTCAATAATGTACTATGCGAGCGTGTGGGCCTAAAGAGCAGTTGTTATACTCACGATTGAATGAAGATATCGCTCATGATCCGCGAATTTGCAAGGCAACATGGATGATAAATGAAAGACCATATGGTTCATAAAGTAGCGACACTTTCTAGGTCGTGGGAATGATAAATGCTTTAATAGTCTGAGGTAAATTAAGTTGTCCAAAATTGATGGAAAATGACACTGCAAACCATGGAAAGACTAAGTTTTTTCTAACGTCTAAATATAAATAAGAAAAATGGTTTCCTTAATCAGATTTTGGATAACACATGTAAAATATTATATTTGCATTCTATCCCAATTAGCAGATATCATTATTCGAAATGTTGGATAACAGCATGTAAACACTACTAAATATCATAATTCATAACATATTAATATATGTAATTACGTATATAATTTAATATACATAATTACATATATAAAAAATTTGAAAGAAATTTCTAAAATACAACTTAAAGCTGAAACACGATGTCTTAGAAACAGTGGTGTCAAATTATCATTTGTGAAAGTGCTGGAGTTTCATATTTTTTATTTGATGAAATTCCATTTTACAAAATCTAAAACGAAAGCTTTTTGAGCAGAATTATTTGCTCTTGAAAGCGCTGAGATCTCTAATTTGTCACTCGAAAGTCACTGATCTTTTCCGTTTAACATGAACGGCAAACAAAATTCGAATTTTGTCGTTTCTGTGCAAGTTAATACTTGAATGATGGAATAATTACATATAAGCATAGCATGTAGAATAATTCCGATTCTGATGGGAATTTTCTGTACTGTAAAAACAGTCCAGTTTGTGTCAATAAAAAAGTGATAGGCTTAATAAAAGTTCGTTTCGTGAAACTTAAGTAAACACGTCATAAAATAAAAACGTTTTCTTGAATCTATAAAGTGTGAGTGCTCTAATAATATAAAGTGTGAGTGCTCCTTTCATAAAATATTCTTTACTTTTCTACTGAAATGAGCAACATAAAAAAGAATGATTCAATCAGTGTTCTCGACAATAGTTAAACTTTTACATCTTAAAGTGAAATTTGCTCCTCCTCTTCGCCCACCCATTCCGCCCCCACATCTCCGGAAGCTGTCAAGAAACTTTTAGCGACGCACACTCCTATTCTGTGCCTCTGATTGGTTCCAAAATCCCGGATTCCGCCCCTCATCGCCGTCGAATCCGGACAGTCGCAGTGCCGGAGTTGACATATATATAAGCGAAAACGCGATGTTAAATTCTCTCTGAAAAATTTCCACTCCGCTGAAGATTGTCTCTGGAAAGAAAATCGTCTGCCTTAATTGACAGCACATCCTCCAGAAGATATCTTCTCATTTGTGAAAGTAAGATTTATTTTTGTTAAGTTGATTGAAGAAACAGTTGATTTAAATAACTCTTGATAGAAGAAATGATTTTTCATTTCATTTCCTTTCACCAAACGATTCTTGCGGTAATTTTAAAGCCGAGCAGAGAATATTACTGTTAATTATTTGTGTCAATCAAATACATCAGTTTCCCAATATGAATAGATATCAGTTCATGTTACTCTTTATAAGAGCTATAATGACTGACTAATGTATTTAATAAAAATTACAAATCGTTTGCACTTGTCAAATTTTGGAACCTTAGAATATATAATTTTCATTTTCTTGATAGACACACGCTAAGTGTGTAAGTTATTGCACATAATAAATTGCAGTTTTTATAATTTTGCTTCTCATTTACTTCTTACTAAATATAATAATAATAATAATATAAAAATATAGAAATAATAAATTCAAATATTCCTTCTCAATAAACTGGAATAGTCTACTTACCGAACAGAACTGATTTTTACCGCGTATGTACTATCGATCAGTTCATAACATATTGCTTTATTCCCAGTAGTAATTACCAAGTCCGTCAAGATGACTTAACTCTAGTACTGGTAATTCGTGTTCGATTTCCTAATTTTTTGAAGCAAAAAAGCTTAGTTTTTAATTTATCCTTTGCATAAATTATAATGGAACTAGTTTCTTTTAAACAGATTTCTACAAAATATTTTGCTCAAGAAAAAGCAGTTTTTGCCTACTTTGTCACAATTAATTATCTGCGTAACTAATGTCTATAAAAATAAATATAGAGAATTATTTTTAATGAACTAATAAAATACGCCTACTTACAATATTAAGTGAAAACACTACAAAGTACTAACTATCAACTTGTATTCTATCAAAGAACTATCAACTTGTATTCTAATTGTGGTCAAATTTATTCTCTGATTTTAAAATCCGGGCAAGAGATCATATTTTTATTCCAGTCGTGCTGTTTTACGTTACTGATAAGTGATTACAAAATTAGTTGATAATAATGTAGATTATGGGTTTAATTAAGTGGTAAACAAAATACATTCAGTTGAAATATTATGCAATTTTCTAAGTATTGTTACAATGGTTCATGGTAAAGGAAATAACTATATTTTGCATCGCCTCACCAAGCTGTTATCAGCAAACTCATTCTAAAATTTTATTTAAAAACCGAAATATGGAATAGCTTTTTATATGATAATTTAAGAGTCGAACACCGCTTAAGAATGTTATAAAGTTACCATTTATATATATAAAGTTGCATTTTAATAATTCGATAATGTATTCAGAGCTATGACCTATAGAAATATGCTTACCGTTTTCTGTTAATTTAATTTTTGACTTTATTTTTATTAAACTATGTGACCTCAATTGGCAAATTAATTAACTGTATAAAGGGGTATCAGCAACCCCTATAACGACAATGTTAAATTGACCATTTTAGATGTACCTTTTCTCAAAATCTGCAGTAGATACACGCTTGAAATTTTTTTGTGTAATTAAAGTGTACCTATGTGATTATACTGAAATGAGCTTTTGAAACATTTTGAATTTTAGAATAATTTAAAAAGTATTTTGTTAGGCATAGTGAAATTTAGCACTTTTCTCACACAAAAAGTTTTTAAAATTTTTTCTCTTAGTTTATCACAAAAAGCTCATTTCAGTAAATATTAGGAAACCTAATAAATAAGCCATAAAAATTTTAGATACCTGTGAGCAGTAGTTCCTGAGAAAAGGTACATCGAGTATTCAAAGATCACGTTTGGAGAAAAACGCGTTTTTGTGTAAAAATTCTCATTCATCAAAGCATTCGATGACAAATTAAAACTAGATTTTTTACAGTTCTAATTTTCATAGAGATTAAAGAATGGTATTTTTAGAAAGATAAAGGTGTAGATAATTTGAAAATGCAAAAATCCGAAATCACAATTTTTTGAAGATTTTGGGGTTCCAACACCCCTTAAAGGGTAACTGATGATTAAGGGAACCAATCGCCAAATCCTGCTGGTGAAGAATCATCATCCACCCCCTTTTTTTAGTTCGGGCGCCACTGTAGAGATATTAGGCTATTTCAAAACAGGAGACGTTAAAAATGAGAACGTTAAAAAAAAAGGTAGGCAGTCTAATTAGGCCTAGAGGAGTACACAAGTAAAATTTTGTGAAGATAGCACTTATCGTTTTAATTCTGTGGATGTGCCCAAAGTGGGTACACTGACTGAATAGAGCTTCGAAAAGAGTGCCCAAACGAGCATTGTTGTCAATGAACTAACCGATCAGATGCGGAGAAACAAAGAATACAGACTCTACGTTGTCCTCGATTATCGGTGAGCCCGGTCTGGGCACACCTAGGGTTCGCCGTTTGATTTTAGGCAAGATTTCAAGGTAAAAATTTAAAACTGTTATAGAATAAGGAGATTAGCATACAGCCAAAAAAATAACATAGCAATTTCTTTTCAAACAATTCCTTTTATACCCTAAAAAAATCTGGAAGTTTTCTTTGAAAAATGAGGGTCTTAAAAAACTAAACATGGCTAAAATATATGGACTGGTTTGTGTTGAGCTGCCATCTACCATAAATAAAAAAGGTTCAGAGTAATATATAGTAACTTATAAATTCTTTTTCATTCAATTTTCTGCCCGTACAGGAGGAAATTTTTAGGTGTGTCCAGACCGGACACACTGTGCCGCAAAGGTTTAAAGTCCAGAGAAGTGTTAAACTCACCCTTTATTATCTCAAACTAAAAATACAGTTGGCCCCTTTCTCGGGCTTATAGAAAAGCCTCCACTTCATATCAAGATAAAAAAAATAAGAAACTAATCTAATGCTAAGCTAAACTGGAAGTTGTACAAAATTGTCTAACATAATTGCCCTTAATTAAATTAACCAGCGAATTTCAGCAGGCACATTCAATACGGCCGAGCGTAGTTCAACAACGAAGCAGCCTGACGTCAAACACGCGCCACTAAGGACTCCTAAACTCTTCTTCTGAAGTAGGCGAAAGTTCTTTAAATACACTTTCTGTTTCATTTACATGTAACTGGATACTAAAAACTTATTCATTCCGGTACGGAGTTGTAAGTGGGAAACAAGAATTTATAGGAAAGGGTTTCAGAATAAAAAATAACTATTAGAAAATAAAAATAAACTTTACAGTACAACTCTGTTTTCTATTGCAATCGGCACACCAAAAGTAATATATACAGGTGGGTTCTTAACAAAGTGGCCAGAGTTCCATCAATTTTACTTAAGTAAACAGTTAAAAATTAGTTACCTCGCATGAAAAATATTAAGCTATGGAATTAGAATCCCACATACATATACACTGACTACCAATAAGTATTTGGACACCTAATGCAAATGACGATATCTGCGGTCCCAAGATACGTCACGGACGCCGCCGGTATATATCGTGTAGGAAACAGCATCGGCTTTAGTCGCATGCAAGATGCCTCGCAGTTCGGAGCTCTCTGATTTCGAGAAAGGTATAATTATCGGGTATCACAAATGTGGCCGATCCTTAAGGGACATATCTAGCGATCTGAAGTACACAATATCGACAGTGGCCTATGTGATTAAAAAGTGGGAAGGTGAGCGGTGATTGTCAGAATGTGCCCCGAGTCGCCAGACCAACGAAACTGGGGGGGATAGAGACCGACGAGTGCTGTTCAGAGAAATTCGGAAGAACCGCACCCAACCGATAGCCCTTATCCGCGAGGAGTTTCAACAGGCATCCGGGAGTATTGTTTCAATGAATACCATTCGTAAGAAAGCACATCTGCTTGGTTTTCATGGTCGTGCTGGTGCCCATAAGCCTTTGATCACAAAGTCCAACCGTGCTGCTAGGTTAATGTGGTGCAAAGCACATCGAAATTGGACCGTAGATCAGTGGAAACGGGTTTTTTGGAGTGACGAATCAAGGTTCACCCTTTACCGTTCGGATGGCAGGTACTGGGTCTGGCGTCTACCTGGAGAACGTCTCCCGCCAGAATGCATTGTGCCAAATGGTTGGCAAGTTTTGAAACGTTTGGTGATTTCTCGCCAGTTTGGCGGCAAAAATTAGTCGCAAAAAAAACCATCGCCAGCTTCGCGATATCTCGCCAATTTAGCGAAATAGCCATTTACTTTAATGTTAAATAGATTTGCTCTGTAATTTTATTTTTCTTGCAACGCTTCGTTTTTTTAGCACTATATTTTACATTACAGGTACAATAATTTTGCATATAATTTCACTAAAATGTATTTCAAATGTTCAAAATTCGTAACAATATGCATTTTTGTACGGAATAAAAAATTAATAAATAAGAGAAACAGATTAAACTGTCATTATTTATTCTCAAGTTTTACGTTACTTGATAACTTTTCATAATTTGTTTAATTTTAGTTAATATTAAAGTAAGTAAGTTTGTGAGTTATTAAATATTTTTAATTAATCATGAGCTAAATTGTTTTAATTTTAAATAACTTAAACATTTTCAGAGTCTGAAATTTTAATTTTTATCTGTCAGGTAAATTTGAATTTTTAAGTGTTACAAAACGGTCTTGGAGGTTCCAACTGTTCAGAAACAAAATAAATATAAGTTTGAATTTCTTTTCCATTGTATATTATTACTATTGTTCATATATCTTTTAATGAAAATTTAATAAGCGAAATTTAAAGTTTATTCAATTTATTCTTTTCTTATTGAAATTTTTAATATTGTAAAAAAAAAAAAAAAAAAGTCTTGCCCATCAGGTATTTTGTGAAAATACCACATTGCATACCCGATATAAACTCTTTAAAATTCTTACTAAGCTGATGAGTGAGAATATTTAGTTTATTTATTATATAGAAAGAAGAATCCTCCAGATATCAATAATGGTAAGTATATTTTCATTAACCTTCTTTGTAAGAAAGCCTGAATTACATTTCATTTACAAGTGAAGTAACGAAATGTTTAGTCAGCCATTTTGTTTAGTTTTAAAACAACGTCACAGTCAACTTTTGCACCTTGTAAAA